AAAGAAAGAACTTAATGAAAAAAGAAACAAACAGGAAAAACAAGAGAAACCTAAGAAAATCGTTTAGGCCTTATTAACAAATTGTTCCAGGTGTTGTGTGCATTGATTATCTGCCCCCATGAAGGTGTTAACAATTGGGCCTTTGTTTGCAAAGATCGGCTAATTCACCTTTGACTTGCACCATGATTTTGTTTTTTTATAAAAAGAAAATAGAATGAAGTGAACATCACAGGGGCCTTCCAGAATTGATATTTAATAGTCTAAATAGACATATGAAACCTATAAACTGTGAGTAAAATACACATGTAAGTTAAATATCTCGAGTTTATATTTTGAGAGTTAGAAAATAGATGACCTAAACAAGGAAAAAGGAAATACTGTACATGTAAATGCGCATTACATGACCGCGTGTTGGCAAACATCCTTGAGGTTTTCACATTATAAAATGGTCGAGAGTGCTACAAGTACAAGTATAAATCTGCAATTCGAACTTTTTGAATCAATGAACTGATTTCAGCGTAACATGTGCCATACATAATGAGGCCGCAGTGACAGTCAAATGCCATATAACCAGAACAGATTGCTGGCCCCTGAACATTACCTTAATTGGCACTTCATGACCCTAGCGGCATTAAAATGTTGGGTCAGTCGTTGAGCAAAATAAACCCTTCGAGCCAATGATTTTCCGCGAGCGCAGAAAACGGACGGAATTTGCAGAATCAACACTTAGAAACTGAATCCACCACTTGAAACGGAACTTGCACAATTCCCATCTAAGAATGGCTTAAAAAGTAAAGAAAACTTTCTGCAAAGTACTTCAAATAAATTCCCTACCAAACCCTTTTAAAATGCTGGCTTTTAATGAAGGAATTATGCCGTAAATCAAACATGCTGATTGCACCGCTCCGTCATGATTGGGTTGTCCGCACCGGTACCGATACTTGCAAGTGCTACGATGAGCGTGAGCACCATGCATGCAGCATGCAGCAGCCAGCAGAGTGCAGCGGCGCGGTATGGGGCTCTCATTGGCCGTTCACACCTGCACCGTACTAGCAATGACATCAAGTCACAAACAAGTTCATACTCACACATCAATGTACTATTATTGCACACGTGTGCTATTCACTCTGTGAATCCGCATAGACACCTTGAGACAAGGCTAGTACCGCATGGTGAAACGATGAAACCGCGGCAGCAACACCGAAGACCAAGTACATATTTCTTGAATAAAATGATACCTAGTAAGCTTGGTGTACCATAGCTGAATGGGCCCGCAGAAGTGTTCGATGAGGAGTGTAGTTTTCAGTCACAACCGTACATTATAAGGCTCAAATTTATTTTCGACTCCAACATTAACCTATTGTAATCTTTGACTGTAACATGCAATACCTATTCTGTGACTACATTGTACATGTACATGTATTTACATGCACATGTACATATAATCTGATATTATACACGAGGAGTGGCACATGAATTGTCCGTTGATTAATCGTAGCAACTTTTTTGACAATCGCGTCCGGGCCAGCCCTGTGCAATCGTGCACTGATGGGAAATCAAGGGTTGGGGGTATTTATAGTGTGGATTTTTTTACTTTCACTACAGAAATTATATTTAAAAAATTGGAAACACTGCAGAGTGTTTCCAATCAGTATTTTTGTTATTTTTGTTTGTTTTCTTTTTTTCCGGGGAGGCAGGATGTGGTAGAGCAGATGGTTTCTATTCATAGTTGAAAACTTGCTCTCCTATTTCATGCTTACGAAGGTATGAAACAGAATTTGAGTTTCTGAAGCGGAATTCTGGATTTGGCCACAACAGAAAATACCCATTTTTGAAACGGAAAATCAATGCGTCTTACCCTGTGTGCTTGAAAAAAAGGCTTCATGAGGGTAGGCCTACTAACTGGACCATTGTGAAGCAAACAGATTATACGCGAGCAAAAATAAATCACTGGTGCCGTCAAGTTCTCAGTTAACGTAACTACCGCGTGAACCAGTAGTAGCAATTACAGACGTCCTCCGAACGTATAGGGACAAGTACGGTAGCAGGCAAATCCGGCGGATCCTGACAGCTCAACGCACAAATCAAGAAGGAGCTGATAGCATGTTTAGCCCTTTTCTTCACACGCTTATGTTATTGACGTCGCCCATTCCCAAAGTGTTGCATTCATGCAAGCGGCTCGCATGACTCGGTTTCCAATACTTCGCATTTTGTTCTGATCGTGACAATCTGTAATATTTTTGTACTGTTTGCATCATCGATATTTTTAGGAGTAGATATATTTTCCCNNNTTAAAAGTTTATTATCATGGATCTTATCCGCTTTATTCAAATGTTTGGGGTTCATCGGACCTCTGGGCACTCAAAACAATTCTATTCTACATAGTTTGTAATTCGTAATTTTACAGTTGCGTGTTCTCACACAGGACATCAAAGTAATTTCTGTTAGTTTTTCTCGTATATCTTGCTAGATCACAGGATCAGGGCCGATTAATAAGTGAATTCAACATCACTCGTCCAGTTACATGTACACGTAGGTCACTCGGGGAAACAGGGGTACACAATTGCTTCCTTGGCCCCAGAAATCTGTGGTTTATCATTTCTCCCAGGATTTTTCACGAAAGAATCAGCAGCATTGAAGTTTTTCTTGATCTACACGTAGGCCAGAGGGTCGTCAGTTGGTCGCCTATCTCCAGTGGAGAAATTTGTTCATGCTGTTATTGACATTGGGCAATCAAATTACGTGTCGCATCATGCCGCCAACAGTCCGTTTGTATAAATGCTTGAGAAAGTTTTACATTTGGGGAAATTGACTTTTTTTCTTATCCAAGTTTATATTTAACAGAAGCAATCTGTCAGTTTTCGTGAAGTGGATACTTCCAACGCGAATAGCTTTGTCAAATTGTGTGGGGGTCTATCTGGCTGCTGGGCCACTACTGACAATCCTGTTCGTGGAAGTTGTTAATTCATTTGCTT